TTTAACATCAATAAAAAATCAACTAAAAATTAATTTGCAAATGTTCTATAAATAATACTTTCACTTTTGTAAATAATAAATGTGTTTATATAAAATGTAAATGAAATTTTGAAGATGCATATCATATCAAAATTCATAAATTTCAATTACTAAAATAATTACATTATTAATATTTTTATTTTATGATTTTTTTAAATAAAAAATTAATTTTTATTTAAATGTAGATTAGTAGATTTGATAGATTCAATTTATATTATATTCTCAAATATTTTGTAAAAAAAATTTTATCTTTGTAACAATAAATACATTGTTATTTAATGAAAATTAAAATATTAATTAATAATTTATAAAATAATTATTATAATTTATCAAGTCTACATAAGTAATTCTAAGTATTAAATAACCATTCTATTAATAATATTTTTATTTGTATAAATTTATTGAAATTAAAAATCATTTATATATATATGTGGATTTGATAAATTATTTATTTTATAGGTTTATAAAATGATAATTTTGAATATTATTCTTGTTAATTTGTACTTGGAGTTATTGAATATACTATTTGTTTAGATTAAATGTAAGAATTTATTTTAGTAAAAGATAATTTATTTCATTTATTATCACAAAATGGAAGGTGGCTTGATGGTTAAGATCCTTGCACTCTTGGACATTACACGATCCAGGTTTCAGGGATTGAATCACGTTAAAACCCTTTTTCTATGAAGCACTTTTCTATGCGATATGCGGGTTCAATATGCCTATGTATTGGTGTGTATCAGCCGATTTGTATCGGACCGATACGCACGACTAATATGATACATTATCAGTCGTGGTGTATCTCGTATCTTCCCCTACCGATACTGGTACGATACGCCTCGTATCAGGCGTATCTGTTTCAATATTTTAATCCTTGGAAACAACTTACGAATATATTTTTGTACAATCATCTTTTGTTTGGTTGTATAGCCCAATTTAGGAATAGAATGCATTAAAAAAAAAGATATTTTCTATATGAATAAAATGCATATTTGTACGTATTTGTTTGGTGCAAGTTCATGCTACCTGAGGCTTAAACCCAAGTCCAATATGAGTTGAAGTTAGGCCCACATTTTTTGGCCCAGGTTGGGCCAACCCAAGTTGCAGCCTAGTATCAATTGATACACTAATGGTATTAATCATGGTTTCAAAACCGGACTAGACCAGACGACCAAACTGGAAAACCAGGAACCAGTCAGGTGACCGGTTCCGTTTTACCCCATAATCGTTATTTCACCAAAAACTATTGATTTGGTCAGCAAACCGATGTTCTGAGCAGTCAAACTGTTCGAACCGTCCAACGGTTTTAGTCATTTTTTATTTTTTTATTTTTTGTCAAAATGGGCCATTCGTTCTATTCCAACGATTGGACTGTTTGACTCGAGAACTGGACCCCTGACCAGTCCGTTGTCTGATTCGATTTTAAAAATCTTGGTATTAATATATATCAATAGACCAATACATGCCACTTTATCAAATACCATTAAATTCCCCCAACTATTATCACATAATTGGTATAGAAATTGCAAGTAAAAAATTTGGGCATTGGTCTTTTGATAATAAATCCACTACTAACTATGTTCCAATTACTTGTCATAGTTATATAGATCTTAAATTTTAAACATCTTGTCTCTTAGTGGATTTTTATCAAATAGTGTTAAAAGTTGATTATTGAAATTTACATATTTATAGATTTTCTAAGAATTAAGATATATTTATAAATTTTGGTTTCTTCAATTTTCAATATTTACCCATTATTCCCGATTCACATTTAACATAAACTATTAAAGTATGTATTTTGTATGTAACTTATCTCTAAAAGTTTTATATTCACTGTCATTTTCATTTTTTAATGATTTATTGAGTTTTTTTTTCTAACATAAACTATATTTTCAATGTTCTTTATGTTCTCAATACTTTGACAAAAATCTTAGGGAGAATGACTGTTCAGTCTATCTTAGATGCCAGTTAGAAATTGATGCTAATACAACGGCGGTTATTGATAATTAGGGTGGATTGAGGTATTTGACATTTTGAATTGTTGTAGACGTGTTTCTGAAATGGAGTACATACACCTCAGTCTCTCATTTCGTGGGAGTTTGAAATCAATCAAAATCATATAAAAAGTGATTGATGTTTTCACATGCTAGAGTGCTAAAAAAAAGATGGCTATATGACAAGACTAAGACGGTACAGTCTATCAACATCCGTGAATTTGATAAGTCACCTGTTTTATTTTATTATTTTGTTTTATTTTTTTTTCTATTTATGTGGTTAGTTACTTGTTCATCATCATACCATCGTTGTTAAAGCGGATTGGCTGTAAGCTGTTTTAAACTGTTAAAACTTGAAAATGTCCAATTGGGAGCGCACCTCACATGTAACTCACAGCTCTATCCCACCATGTATTGGACACATCTCCCATGAATAATAATATAATGGACGGGAGATGCTTTTAATAGACAGTGGCATGAGGCTGTGAATTCCTATGAGATGCATTCTGTGAGGAGCAGATCCTATTTCAAAATGTCATACCTTATATTGGGCCTGGAAACGACTCATAATCTCCTGCCAACAAAATGCATTTCAATACTCTCCCAACATAATCTGACACCATACATCTCATACATGATAGATTCTACTTTTATAGTGGATCCCAATTTCATGATAAAATGCGAGGTATCATATTATATTGATAAGTTATAGGAACATGTTTTGTTGGCAGGAGATCCTAACTCCCTTAAAACAAAGATATTTTGAGGGTGATGGTCAATTGAAATTTTACGGACATGGTAGGTAGCGAATTAAAGATAAAAGTATCAGATCCAAATATATAAATGGTACATTGTTGCTGGATGTATTGACGATTAGACTTCGCACACATAGAGACTGCAATTGCATTTGCATATATCTATGTTATATTTATATGGAAGGTGGAACCTACCACATGTATGATGTATTGCCTTGCTTTATTAATTGTATTTTCTGCACATGGATTAGCCTTTGCCTTGTTTCTCGATTCTGTCTTTGACGAAAATTGATTGGAACTTGGACTCCAAAAAAGTAAAGGATCCAAGGATCTCAAGAACTTCTTCTTCCTCTTATTCCTAACATTAAATACATGTTTTTTTTTTTTAGAAAATAAATGTCAAAATAAAATAATACAAGAGCAATAGGCCGTCCTTACTCCTTATTTTTACGGCCATAAACCAGCTTACCATAGTATGGAGCAAATAGGGTTGATACGTGGGCAGTATTCGAAGCTGATTTTTCTTAATTTTTTAGTTTTTCTAAACCTGGTTTAAATGGGTATTGGCCTATATCTATTTAACGCTTAATGCTTGTCTAGCCCCTAAACTAGATTAAACCATGAAACATTTCCTGTAGGAGTTATTAGAAAACTTTCAATATGATACGTATCGATCAATACGGCCTGATATATATCAAAATTTTGAACATTGGTGTAAAAATTCATAGAGTATCGATCATACTCCCGATGTGGATGTATTGTATTCATATCCATGGCTTTGAATATGGATACATATTCCATGAGTTGCGCAAAGATATCGAGTTGTATTAGTGGATACAATCTGATACGCTAAGTCCTGCATATGTATTGGGTCATATCGTAAATATGCACTGATATGTTGACGTCTAATACTTTAAGGGGGGCTTTTGTATTTTACCCATTTGAAAAAAAATATTCATATCTGAGATTACCTGATGTGGGGTCACTACGGCCCTGGTTCCTGATTTTAAGCAGGTTCATTTTGGTCTTTTTAATAAAAATCACATGTATGAGCGGCCCTTAGCATCTTATAGTTATAAAAGAAAGTGAGAGCCGATAACATGCGCCGTACGTGAAAAACAGACTTGGGGAAATGAAATAACGAGGCACGGTCGCACGGATCACGGGACCAATTTGTGAAACGGCGAAAAAGTTTGACGAAAGAAAAAAAAATGGAAAGACGGAAAATTGTTTGAGATTCGACTATTCGAGAGTCGAATATAGGGCCCATTGGGCTTTTTGCTTTCTACTTTTTAACCCCGAAAACATTTTCCCTCGTGGAAAGACCACCGTTAACTCCGTAGTTTCTTGGTTAATTATCGTACAACATTTATGGTAAATAATAAATAAACTGCTACAGGGATGGGTCTAGGGCACTGTCACGTATATTCTGGGTCCTGAGATAAAAAAAGTAATCGACTAATCAATCCTCTCTCTCTCTCCTATTTGCTATTGTGATAGGGATAGGAAGTGGCGTTTCCGTAAATAGGCCCTCTCCACACATTAAAATACTCTCCTTTCTTCTTGTAAGCTGTGAATGCAAGCAGATCTCCCATAAATACTCTCAATTGACTCAGTCTCTGCTGTCTGCTGTATTGTAACTATTCTACTCCTCCCATCACCTCACCTCTCTTTTGTCCTCTCGCGCTATCTCCCTCTTTCTCTGACCGAAGCCTCGCCGCTGATTCCCACCACTCTAATTCTAATTTACCCTTTGATTTGAAAATACCTCGCCATGCCTCAGAGGTTATCTCTTGCCAGATTAACAAGTAGACGAGTTCCAAAGTTTAATCCTTTATAGTGTTATTTCTTTTGAGTTAGAAGCAAAACTCAAATGGGTTGCTGCATCAGTACCAACAAGACCGGTGAGGAGGAGCTTGCACCTCCTAAGCAGCAGTTGCCGGAGAGAGCCTTGGCGCCGGAACCTGACACGTCCCTTGTCAGAGGAACCAAAGTTAATGATCCTCCTCCTCCTCCTCCTCCTCCTCCTCCTCCTCCTCCTCCTCCTCCACTGGAGGAGGAGACAGTGAAGGAAGTTCTGTCTGAGACGCCCACACCCAAGCCTCCTTTGCCCAAGGTAGAGAAGGAGATCCCTAAGCCTTCTTTGCTGAGTGTTGTAGAAGAGATTGTCGAGAAGAAATCTCCCGTCAATGCAGTCGAAGAAGTGTCTGAAATGTCAGAAATCTGTAGTTTAAGCGAGAGCGTCTCTACGACGACCATGACAGAAAGGAAAGACGACGACGAGAGGAGCCGGGACGACGGAGAAGTGCGGCAGAGAGTGGACAGGTCTCCGGCTAGGGTCCCCAGGAAACGCTTGGTTTCCGGTGATTACGCCGGAAAGACTGAAAAAGGGGGCAGGTCTCCTGCCAGAAGATATGAGCCGTCTCCCGGCAGGAAAATGGATAATGCTACGATGTCCGTCCATAGCAAGGAAATGAGCCACAGCACGCGACGGCGGGTTCCTGCGAACAATGGGCTAATAAGGCGAGATCCAGGCGATAGCTCCGGGCGGAGATCGAGGTCGCCGGCGACACGCTCGGTCGACCCTGGGTCTTATCGATCGACTATCGGCCGCAGCCCATCGTCGAGAAAAACCGGGCGTTCCCCTGGGCAAGCACCACCGTTGTCCGAGGACAATGGCCGGAAGTTAGAAGAAACCAAAGAAGGAAGCTGGCAGACGAACGAGTCCCTCGAAAATCCTCTCGTTTCGTTAGAATGTTTTATATTTCTGTAGTAATCTCTTCTATCGGGGCTTTATTTCGTGCATTTTTGAAGAGAGACAATGGAATGAAGTCTAAGCCATTACATCTAAGCAGGCAAGTTGTTTCTTTTTCCTTTTTAGGGTTAGTGAGGTCAAAGGAAAATGAAGTTCGAACTGAGAATCTCGGCAGTTGTTTACAGCTTTGTATAGTTGATTACCGCCGGATATAAACCAGGATGGATGGTTGATTACCGCCGGATATAAACCGGCGGGAAGAGAAGTAGTAGCCGTCATTTCTCTCTTGGATTGGCCGAGTCCTTTTTGTCATTTTGTACATAGTAATCAAAAGCTTGACAAGTTAAAGAAATATAGAAGTGGAGAAGAAAAGGGGATGGCCGGATGGACAAAATATTTTGCGGTTGGAGATAGTATTTTTCTCGTGATTCGTGAATAGTGATTTAAGATTCTCGGTATCCGTGTTCTTATTAACAAATCCTTTTTTCTCTTGGGTGAAGTGACATTTCTGAGTTTCTGATCACCTAAGCAATTTTACTACGAAATCAAGTTAGAAATCTCCCTTAGCACCTCCTTCCTGCTTTACTGTTTTTATGCTTTCCTTTCCTTCACTGTCACACTGTCTAGTCCTTAGTTAGCTAGTTACTTATTATAACCAGGGATGGGAAGTGATGGAGTTGGGTGCCTGATAATCTGGATCTGTCCATGGATGGAAACATCAACATGGGTTTCTGAGCAGATGCTGACTTATTTTTTATGTGAATGAGGGTGGGGTTTGGGAGAATGAGTGGTGGGTATTGGTTTTTGTTGGTGTCTGTGGCTATCAACAGAAATAACATTCTAGTCTAGTCTATTAACGATTTTGTATTGGTTGATCCGTTGATGATTGATGATGGCTGTGTCCGTGTAGTTGTGATAACGCTAGCAATTCCAGCTGTTTGCTAATTCTCTTTATCTTATCGAGTAGACAACTAGGAATAGGAGGATTGTGATTGAACAACAACAACCTCATAATTACGATTGATATATTTAAAAGACTACAAATACAATTATTGGGTTTGGGTTTGCTCACAAAGGAAAACTGATGATCGACCATCTGATCTAATAGCTTGTTCATTCATTTATGGTTAAATCGAATGATTGATTCATTCTAAGGACAGTAATTAGATTAAAGAGTAGGAGATTTACTTTCTTTAGAGAAGAGCCAGAAGCTGTGAGAGACTGAATGATTTTCATTTTTCTAGCTTATGCATATAAGCAAAGTGCATAGCTGGGTACAATAGGAATATTCTTTCATGAGACAACCGGTTGTTGGACCGCCATTGAATTTGATTTGTCCCCTCCAGACTCCAGTGGCCCGTGGGGATGTCTGTCTCTCGTCTTATGTTTGTTCTGTGAAAACTCAGGTTAGGTCCATTCGAGTGTGCTGAGCTTCTGACGTGTACAGAGTCACAGAGTCGGTAGTCAGTGTAAATGGTAAGGCCAAGGCCTCGTGAATTTTATTTTAAAAGAGAGGTGGGGGGTGTCTTTGTTTAATATAAGCAAATGAAGAAGAGAATAAGGCAGAAAGAGCCAAAGAGGGGTTACTGTTTTTTTTTTTTGAGAAAGGGAGGGAAATTTAGTTTCGATGTGTGTTGATGTTTTGCAATTTAATTCCTTCTACTGCCTCTGAGAGAGAGAGAGAGAGAGAGAGAGAGAGAAATTCTGAGTATTCTTTGTCTCTATGTTCAGATGATATTTTCTTTCTTCTTCTCTTTGCGTCTCTTCACTATCCGCACAAGTCCTAAATTTGCTCAGTAATTGGCGGAATTAAAACAAGTAGATGCATATGGATTTGATTGAGAAAGGCTGTTTGTGTCATTGTGTAATGTGTATCTAAGCGAAAGTCCAATCGGAGAGATCTTTGAAAGGTAGCTGGTGATTTGTGGTGGTGTTTGGTAAATCTTTTTCGGTAAATGTTTCAACAGCCCTAAAATACAAACGCAAATTATCTTGAAGATCAGAACTGTTTGGTAAGCGTCATAGCAAATGCTTCATTTGGATTTTGGACATTTTCCATCTTTCTGCGTGCTTGTCTTCTAGTCTTTCGATCGTAGACAGAAAGATGCACGGAACCATTAAAATTTCTGATAAGGTGAGGTGATCAGAAAGTTGGGGATAGGGGAGGGTGAGGTGATCACCTTTACGGTGTAAGTGTCACTTGATGAAACTTGGGCCGTGTTTCATTGGGAGTTTGTTAAATTTTCAATGGGCCTCAATCCAATTTGTTCATCGGATTTAAAATAAATAATTATAGAATGGACCTAGATAATCTAATAACCATTCAATAGATCGAATACAAAGAAAAGGGAGTTTTGGTAGCTGATGATGTTTAGCAAATACAAAATTCAAGAGCATGATTCGAATTCGAATTCGAATATATTATCAGATATCCGATTCTGTTAGAATTATATTTATATTATGTAATATAAATAATATATTATATTATTTATATAATATAATAATGTATTAAAATATAAAATATAAAATATATAATTATATGAATAATATATAGAATATATATATAATGTAAATAATATATAATTTATAATATTTCTAATTAATAGATCAGATCAGTCAATATCCGAAATCCATCCCTTAAGTTAACAGATCAGTTTTTTTTATCCAATCCGATTTGTTAGGATAAAAAAGAATATCCAAATCTGCCTCTTAACATATCGGTATTGGATTCGGATCGGATCTGATCTGACTTATTTGCAGCCCTAACTCTAATTATTGTCTCTTGATTATAATTGGACTGGGACCGGTTTTTATTATTTCAAATTGATTAACACCCATACCAATTATATAGTTATTAATATATAAATGTCTCTTGGCTTCTTTTTTTTTTAATTTTGTTGTATTTTATCTAAAGGAATAAATTTAGTAAACAGTACATGATGCTGCACGATCTGGGCACTCCTAGCTGGTTGTCACTTGGCTTCTGGCTGGAACGAACGACACCTGAGAGGAAGGAGAAGGTGAAGGGTTTCCGGGGGTTATCCCGGTGGGAACACTCCGATGGCTAAGTTAGAACTGGAGAAAATCTCAAAGAAAGAGTCGAGAGTAAGAGTGTTGAAAGTGCTTAAGCTTCAATACCTTTTCTT